AAAATTTGAGTTTAACTTCTTGTTTTCATAAAGAAAATGCATGATTTATTGCTTAATATATAGTCATTGTTTACATAATACAATATGACCAAAGCTATTGGTTACAGGCGTACACACACACACACACACATATATATGTGTGTAAAATCATATTGAATTATAGTCTGTATTTATTGACAATGAGCAACATTTTGGACAGAGGTAAGAAATAACAAGACAGATTAAAAACCTAAGCATAAACATTTCTATTGATAAATTCACACAAAAGGATCTGTTACCAAAGTATGTGGAGGAAATCAAGTATCATTCAATTGTAAGGCTATCATAGAGAATACATCAGAATGTTAGCTGAAGATTTGACACTTTGTATTTCTTTTTTCAATACATCAGTGAATAAGTGCACTGTGTTATTTATCATTGGTGTGAAACTAAGTGTTTCATTTAATATGAATATATACTAAGAGACACGTCAAAAAGTTTATCTAATGAGACTAGAACATAGAAAATAAAGATTTGTTGAAATATTTTGAAGATATTTCTAAAAAATCTTATTGAGAACAAAAAAATTGAGAAGAGACTTAATGTTGCCTGCATCCTGGTCATTAAAATGTTTGTGTTCTTCTCATCAGTAATCATTGCACATCTCACTGTCATGACATTTTCTTAATTCCTTCTCAAATATCATCTTGTGCTTGGTTAGAATAAACTGAGCCAAAAGTCTGCATTGTAAAGTTTTGCTAATGGGTCTATACTTGATGTACACACAAAATATCTGATATTAGTGAAACAAGTCAGAATATGTGCTTATGATTAAATGTGCTAAAAAATAAAATATATTTAAATGTTGGAAAATCTGCCAAAAACTTTGCATACAGTAAATCAGGATCATTAAAGTGTGGATGGTATTTGTTTGCAATTGTCAACTGCTAATGTTATGCATACTTTTTTAATTTCATTGTCAGCCTTTTTTTGCTCAAAAAATAACAAAATAAAAAAAAGCCATTTTTGTATAATAATTGACTATGGACAAATTTGAATGCACCAATTTGTGGAAGAGACATGGGGTGCTTCTTGGAATCCACACCAGAAGAACAAAGGTGAATTCAGTCAGCAGAAAGGTGGTGGAAAAGATCAGAAAGGAGCTGGAAGATTCAGGATTCAACTTCAAAACAACAGTAGAGAGGAAAACCCATAATCAATGATCTGACACCATCAAAATGTCAGAGTTCATTGCTGAAGTCCAGGAGATCATCAACAATGATCCCTGTAAGTCAATGTATACCATTGTAAATGAGAAAATTGTGGATGAAAAGCTCATCAGGCTAGTGGTGCATGAGTACATTCAGATGAGAAAGGGACAATTTTTGTCCAAGGCAATCAGGAAAAGTGGCTCAAGCACATGCAGAAGCTGATGAAAGACCAGATCAACTTCCAGAACAACAGGTAGCTTGCTGTTTCATCCAAGGCTGTGCCCAGAATAATGCAGACGTAATTTCCAGTGACAATCATGGACTTTGGTGTTGTCAGTAGTGAAGGTGATGTCATGTCACCACACTTCTTCTGAGGGTCTCACAGGCTCTCAGAAGAAGTGTAGTGACATGACATTACCAACAGTTACATACGTGTTCTGAGTGAGGTGGTGAAACCCTAGATCAATTGGGGAGCTACATGGAAACTGTACATGTGGCAGCAAGAGTCAGCATACTGCCATACCAACCAGAAGATTCAGGCCTAAGAGCTTCTTTGACTAAACTGCACCTGACATTTGGCTGCAACCCCCTCAACCTTTTTGTGCGGGGTGTGGTGAGACCAACAGATCCAGCTGTAAAATGAAAGACAAGCTGAATGCAAAGATCACCAGGTCCTTCAGCAGCTTATGTTGGGAGATAGTGACAAAGGCATGTGGCCAGTTCAGAGGTCAGCTCAAGGTTGTCATTGAAGCCAAAAGGTAGGTTTCATCAAGTGAGATTGACAAAATATGTCATGAAGACAAACAGATCCAAGTTTAGTGAATATATCTCAAAAAATAAAAACACTGTTATTTTTTTTGCAGTAAGTAATCTTGTGCACAAATACTATCTGCAGCCTGTAGGCCCAGGTAATCTAGAGTGGCAAGTTCTACATGTTCTAAAATGTCAAATTCCAATGTTCTTCCATGACAGTAAATTTCAATTTTCCATTTTTGTTTCAAAATCATAAAAACACGTGTAAAACAGATTTATGCAAAATAATGATTCTGTCGAGTTACAGCTCAGGTATTTTACCTTTTACCGTCAGAATATACAAAGTTTTGAAGCAATGACAACTACAAAATGCAAACTACATTTATATTGATAGCACAGTTAATTTATAAATAAAAAAGGCTCTGATTTTCACATTAACTTTTTTATTTTTCTCTCGTTCTCTATTTTTTATTTGGATTTTATTTTTTAATAATAAAAATCCCATTTTCTGTGATTTTTCATGTTTTGCATTTTCTACCTTATTTCTGTGTTTTTTTCCATTTTCCATCATCACAGAGAGCTTGCCACTCTAAGGTAAACCCTTATTTTCTTTTTAGGATTGGGTTTCCAGTTCCTTATAAAGTCTACTTCAACTCTATACTTCTAAAATCTTAGTCTGAACTATGAAATTTTATTTACTATTTATGTTTTTATTTTTTCTTAATAGAAGTAGATAGGTTTGCCTATTATCTGGTTCACAATCCTTCCCAATCTTTTGAACAGGAGCAGAGATTTAAACTGGTTTCCTGTTTAGGATAGGTTTCCAGTTCCTTCTAAAGTCTTCATTCTCTTTCACTCCTAGTAGGCCCTTGCCTCTTAGTGGCATTATTATCTTGCTTGGGGTGAATTGATTAAAAAAAAGAAAATTATGCATGGTATAGAACCAGTTATGTTTACTCAAAACAAGCTTTTAAGCAACATATTGTTGTTGACCAAGGAAACCAATATGTAAATATTTTCAATCAGAATTCAATTACCTAAAATGAAATTATTAGAGTAAAAATCACTTATTAACTATTTCAAACAGTAAACTTTTTTATTTTTATATTAGACCTACTATTTTAAAAATCAGTACTACTCAACAAATAGAGGTGAAGTTGTACTATTGAGTTCTTATGAATGTATGGATGATGTGAATAGTTTTATAAGATGGCACTAAGTTTCAGCTACAAATGACACAATTAGATACCGAGATATTTGGTATAATGTGTAATATTTATTTTTACAATAATGTTCACCCTGTACAAAACCCAAGAGCCTCTCAATGTAGTGGGTTACATAATAAGTGGTAAGGAGCACAGTTTATGATGATATGAAGATAATAGTTAATCTTAGACTTGAACAGGTTAAGATTGTAGTGATCGATGAAGCAGTCTCTTAGGAGTCTGTTCCATAAAGTAGTTGTTCATGGGAAGAATACAATGTGTAAACTGTAATATAACATACTGTAGTAAAAATACAAGTGTGTGTCTGTAGAGAGCAAAAAACAATGTTAAGTTCAAAGTTGTGCATAAAGTTTCCCTAGGATAATTTTATTTCTTTCTAAATAAAAAACAATGTGTAGTATTTTTATTGTTTTACTTTTAGTTAATTAAATCATATAGACTTGTTTGCATCTAGTGGAAGTATCTGCTAAATGTATTACTTGTGAAATGAAAAAAATGTTTAAAGCAACTAATTTAATTAAGCATATGTTCTAATAAAGAATGAAGTGAAAGAGTGAGTCAGAATACACAGAAAGTTCTTAGAAGGCTACAAAAATTGATATTTAAATGTGGTGAAATATAAAAAGATGAATAATCCCACTTTACAAAATCTTTATTTTAAATGAATGATTTATGTTAAAAATTGTAAAAGAATTCACAATTTTTTAAATCATGGACCTGGCTAGCTGTGTTAAAAAGGTGTGTCCTATTTCACTTTCAGTAGATAAATAAATTATGATCTATAACATGATACAGCGCTGCTACCACTATACATTTGTTATTTTCACACAGTTGTATGTTCCATTTTTTTTATTTTATAGAAATATCAATGTTGGAAGATATTCTTACATGAAAGCCATGTGACCACATTCCCAGAAATCATTGCACATAGAAAATGGAGAATCAAAATTCAAACACCTTACAAAAATCTTCTATTGTTCTTAAAACTTAATATTATTTTTTTATATTTGTTTAATTGAATGCTTTAGGATATCAAGAGGTCTAAAGCCGATATAAAAAAAGAAAAATTGTTTCAACATTGTTAAATTAATTAAAATACATAAACTAATTGTTTTCAACAGTCATAAGGATACTTTTAAAAGTTTTTTGTTAACGACCAACTATTTAAGATTGTAAGATTAAGAAAATAAATGCCTCTAAAAGCATTTGTACTTTTACTTGCTTGTTTCCACGCTAAGAAATATAAGGGTCACAAAATTATCTCATAATGAATTAATGTTTTTTGGTTTTAAAATAAATGATCCAGATCTTTTCTACCCAATGTTCTTCGAAATCAACGACAGCTTAAAAAACTTTTAAAGACTCCATTAAAGAGCCAAGTTTCACTTTCAGTTACAAAAATAAAACTTAATTTATTTCTACAGTTATTTATTTTCTGCTTTTGAATTAGAATTATTTCATTTTTTTAAATGTCAAATTTGTTGAAAAGGGCAACAAAAAATTCTTAAGAATAGAATAAAAGTAATTTGTCACCGAACAAAATCTGACTTTTTTTTCACTTTTCAACGAACATCTTGGTGTGACGTGGAGAAGTCATTATATTATTATATTACAATTGAGCCGATATAGTGAAGAAATAAGTCACAAATGTACGAGGAAATGTCTTCAAAATCGACAAAAAAAGTAAAATAATGATAATGTACCCATTATCACACAGACATTATAAGCCATGAATTCCTCCTACAAAAAGGACATACTTTTTTTTACAGACATGTGATGAGACGTTATGAAAAAAAACAAAAAAACAAGTAGTAGGAGAAAAATACATTACCGGTCTCCATCCGTATGGAACGAATCCAGGTCCATTAAACACAGCCATAAAGTAGTTGTACAGGGTCAAGGTATCCCACATCATGAACACCAAGAGGTTTAGCAACCCCCCCATAGTATTCACAGGCCACCACATAAGAGTACATGTTACAGACATGAAAGAGATTAGGAATATTATAGAAAGAGCAAAACAAGGTCCCCAATGTAGTAGACGTCGGCAGTTCTTGAAGGCACTGGTGGTTATGGGTTTACTTTTAATTTTAACCTTTTCCGATGTTCCAGGATCCATCGTGAAAAACACAAGAGCTTCTTTTCCGGATATTTTCTTTTTGGAGAGCAATATAAAGTTTAACTTCTTAACAGAAAATAAGGCTGTTCACTTTTTTTTTTCATCCTTAAAAGAAAATCTTAAAGCAATTTGTGTTGTTGGTTGTACTAGTTGTTGAACTGATTGGATAAGAAGAATTTCTTTGATTCGGAATATTTTTCTTAGGTATTACTTTAAAAAAATATTGATAAAGTTTTTTGTTTCAACACAGTTAGAAAATAGTAGTAGTACAACTACTACTTACTTATGTTCTCTAACTAGACCTGAACATTTTCAAACTTAGCGTATTAATTGTACATTAAAAAAAAAGTAACACATAATAACAAAACTAAGATAAACTGTATATAAAATAAATAGTCTTCATTTTCCTTAACTATTCCCTTCGTCTTTCTCTAACCATTCGTTCGGTGGGTTTTTTTTTCTTTTTGCAAAATCACATCAACAGTCCAAAGGTACAGACCATACAATTATCATTACATTAATATAGTAATCGTTGATACAAAACTTTTTTCATATTTTCTGCTGAAAAATTACCCAAAAAGTGGTTATTCCATCGTTATCAAAGCAAGGAAAGATAAAACGTTCACATCTCATCAGGATTCTACATTCAACATTGATAACTGCATCTAACTTCTTTTTAAAAAAAGAAAAAAAACTTAGAAAAATCTAACGTCATTAAAATATATTTTTCGTTGTTTTTGTGTTTACCTTGTTTTTCATCTTTGTGATTATACTGCAACCAAAAAACAAATGCCTTTTTACCGAGATTGTTTTTTAGTCGTATCACCTTAGTTATTAGTTATTCGTTTCACGTTTATAAACATTTTTTCTATAAGTTTAAATAACAACAGGAGAGGGAAAGGAAGAAAAAAAACCAAAAAAAGGAAAAAAACGAACGAACGAACAAACAAACAAAAAACCTTCACATCGTATTTCCTACACGTAAACTTACAAAACACACTTTGACGGTATTAGCGAAAAAAATCCCCTAAGACTTTATCGACCAACCGGTGTTCATTCCCAAGAAGGGGTTGGAAAATAGCTCTAAATGGAAGTTTTACTTTTATAGAAGTCATTTCTTTTTAAAGATAAATGAATAAAATACTATATGAAAATGTAGATAATGCATTGTAAATTTTTTAAAATTATACGAAGTGGTATCAGAAAGTTCTCAGAAACCGAAAAATTATACATTTTTTAAACAAATTTTCATTTTTTAAAATTTTATTTCAGAGTAAATTTTTAAAAAATACATTTCATGTCAGTTACCATACCTTTAAAATAGTCAATCTGAGGATCATATACACGTGTACAGAGATTCTATAAGGCCGCAATGTGATGCATAATGATCATTGCCGGATTTACCTATGCTTACCAGGCCCAGAACCTCAAAGGGAGCCTCCAAACAAGGTGTATAATAATTTTGTTTGACATTCATAGTCATTTCTAACATGTTGTCATAACGCATTGTAGACTAAAAAAATCCTTTTTAGTAATTTTTCTTACATTCCATTTCAGAATAATATTGTCTTAAAGCCGATAATTCGATGCTAGCATTGATTTCTTTTTTTTTTAATTTTTAAACATTTATGCATCTTTTACAATCACATTGTTCAGTTAGTGTTTGTTTAGCAATTAACATGTCCTTTAGAGGAGGAATTGCCAACTGTGGAATTTTAAACACCCATTATCATCTTTCTTTGGCTTTACTCAAATTGTTTTAAACACGGTCAGTGTTTTAACTTTTAACACTCTTCCATTTTCCTCTACTTGTGAGAATGGGGGATTTGGAGTGGAATAGCCTAGGGCTTCTCTTCATCTAAATCTGGCCCTGCATATGATGATCCGATCCCACTCGTGTGAGAGAGCTAGCTAATGGATTGTTTGGTAACGTCTTCATCGACGAGTTCAAAAGCTTTTTATTTTTTTGACATTTTCTAATAATGTTTTGCTGGCGACTGGTTGCCTTGAACACTCATCACATCGCGCTGACGCTTCTTGATTATCCTTGAAACACGAATGCCATTCAGAAAAGGAAATATTGTTTTCTTTTTGTCTTTTACTAATTCAAAACTTTTTTTTTTCATTAAGTTTGAAATTTAGAAATAAATTAGCTACTATTTAAAACTGTAAATACGATTTCTTGTGTAGTGTCTTTTTTAACTTAAAAATTTTAAGTAATTTTTATTTTAGCGGATTAAAGTTGTATTTTTTTAGTCAATCAAAAATTAACAATTTCTGAACTAACTTCTCAAATATTGAACTAAAACTACAAGACAAATTAAGGAAAGATAACAAAAAATGATTTTCTGCTTTGTCTCTTTGCTATAACTTGTGGGGATCAATTGCCCTCACTACACAATGCCACAAATAATAACAAGAAATAAGAAAATTCAGACAAGAGAAATAGATTTTTATTATAACAAATGTACAAAGAAATGTTTAAAATGGTGAAATAAACTTGTCTTTTTAGATTTTGTGTGAGGTAATATTGATAGTTTGATAAACTGCAAGTTGTAGGGTAATTTGCGTGAATTTGGAAAAATTCAGTTCAATGTAATATTGAATTCAAAATAAACAGTTCAAAGGTTGTGGAAAAAGCGTGTGTGAGTGTGACTTACGTTGTGTTTGACGTTTGAGTGTCTGTCGCTTCGTTGTTTACCGACGTGAGTTTAGTTTGCATTGCATGAAGGAAATAGACTGTGGTTATGTTAAAAAGGATTTTTAATCTATAGTCTGGACTTCAGTTGAAAGTTATTTTATGATGAGTGTCATCATATAGCGTGTAGCTTTTTCGGCTGATTCCCCGCCCCCTCTACACTCTTGTTTCTTGTTGTTATAGACAAGTGTATGGTTGCAAGAAGGAAATACGACAACAGCAGAAATAGATTTACGTGATTTATTTCAATAGGAACGTGTGGGTTTGGGACAGCTACCTTGTGGTATAGTTCATAAGCCAGCTCCCGGTCTGGGTTGATCTCTCATAGTAGTTGGCGTGGCGCTACTGCTGCTGACTGCTGCCGACCGCTCAGCCTGACCGTGACAGGTCTCTTCCCTGGCCTCCTGTTGACTGCGGTATTTACTCGTTCCCCCACTAGAACGAGATGTGACACAAGGTCGGTTTAATGTGGGGACCCGAGCGCGTACACCCGGGCAGGGACAAAAATTCCCCTCATCCCCCGCAACCGTCGGTTGCATTGGCCTCGGTGCGAGCACCAATCCCTCCCTCTGGTGCAATGGGAGGGCGCGGCTCGGGCAGCTGTTCCCCAGGGCTGGGCACCTCTTCTGTATTATTTTCTCAGTTGCCCCTCCCGTCCTTAGACAGAGAAACCCCTAAGCGCACTCAGAGACGCAACTGAGAGATGATAAATGATGCGCGTACACCCCTCCTGTTGACTGCTGTTGTACTTCACCGTGTGACCCTTTTTATGGCTTAACAGGCTCGAAAAACGACGCGAGTATAATTAGGAGGGGAGCATTTTAAGGGTCAAGATCGACTAAGACCTTGTTGAGAGTTCTTTTAAAGTTAGCGACGACGCGAATCGATCCGTTTTTCTTGCGTACGGCAAATACAGGGCTATTGAAGCCTTTGTGGTCGCTGCAGTTTTCAATGATACCTTCATCGGCCATGCGCTTAATTTCGGTATCAACATCTGCTTCCAAAGCCTGGGCGATCGGGTGTTGTTTCTGGCTGCGAGACTGGCCGTTGGTTGGTATGCGGATGGGTCGGATGAATGTGCCTTTGCTGCTGCTTTCGGTGCCGATAATGTCAGCGTAGCGAATGAGTAAGTTTGCAGTGGCCTCTAGTTCGTCTCGGTTCGGGTGGTTTGTTAGCGATAGTCCCGTGTACGTGGGTATATATATTTATATGATTTAATGGTTATAGATTTAAATATTGGCTCCTAAATTCGTTCATGCTTGCTGATGTCATGTCTGTTGAATAGTAATTACCAGAAAATCAGTTCTGTACGAAAAATTATATGATAAAAATAATATTTCCTTAAAATATTTTTAATATAAGAACTTGTAGACTATACATAAGCATATTTCTTTATAATTCATCTTGCTACTTTGGCACGGACTGTAACATCAATTGTTGCTCAGACTATCACATGGACTGCCTCCTTGATACATTGTCTTTTATTTATACCTGGCACACGAACGTAGTAGAAGACACAAAATTAATAATTAAGAAAAAAATGCTTAGATCTATTTGAAAGTCTTTTACTAGTGTGCGTCTGAATTCTATAGTCGCATTTTGGTTGTCGATTAGATAGGAATCGAGCGTGTTGTGACATAGGATATTTTGTCCGATCAGGATCGGTGTGGTTTTGGTAGTTACCAGCACGTTAACCTTTTTGAATGTGGGTGAGTCTCGGCTGCCGATGGTGATGTCGCAACTCAGTTCGCCAAGGGCGGTGGTACTGCCGTTGATTCCTTTTACTACGACGTCGGAGCGGGTCATGTGTTTCTTGGCTTCTCTGGGTAACTGAGATATTGGTAAGATGCAGGCGGAACATCCAGAGTCTAGCATTGCGACGCCAGAGAAAGTGATGTCCCTGAAGTTGAAGGGTGGACTGGACGAGCGGTGAATGGTGAGCGAGTCCTTGAAAGATGAAGGTGTGATGGCTGACGTAGGGGCACGGTGAACAAGGCATCACATCTCGTTCTGTCCGAAGCGAAAATCCTGTTCCATATCATTTATGGCTTGTATATTATCATTCGTTGCGGCGATATGGGCCTGTGCCCGAGTGCGA